AGTTGTCTACGTGTCCAAACGATGGCATCCGTTGAATGGGCAGAGGAGGCAACACAGATTCAATCAACGGGTCACCAGTTAACAGAGCAATTAAAGCCTACGCAGGGCTTGAGTTATCGACGAACAAATCATCGAATATAGATTTTGGGGAGCCAGTGTGATTACATTTTGGTCCAGTAGCGGAATGAATAATAGCGATACACAAAGCCAATGCCCTAAGCGGATAAGTCCCAACTGCGGTCTTTATGCTAAAAAGGTGAATTAACGTTACTTAAAGGCGGTCTTGGGGAACAATACACTTTCACGTAGTGACAAGCCGCATTACCTAGTGTTTGGCTGATGCACCCAAGCTCTTCCGGTAAGCCTTTAATGTCGTTATTGGAACCCAAGCTACTCAGCCAAATCGAACTGCATACTATCGTCCTCCACCCTTCACACTACTCTCTGCGGGCACTACGTCCCTAACACCTTATGCATCCAAATCGCATGTGCTTTCGGCGATGGTTCCATAATCCCTGCGAAAAAGCAACTAGAGAAGCTCGACCTCTCCGCTTATTTGTGAAATTATGAACCAGTCAATTCTTTCCTATAACATTCTGAGGGGTTTTGTAAGAAGTGAAACGGAAATATTCATTTTTTCAGTAATATACAATGAGGAATTTTATTTTTTCTTGCAACTAGCAACTGGCCATTTGACTGATTTGCGCTTCCCTCGTGAGGCGCGCTGCTGCGTCGCTCTCTGATCTCGCTTAGGTGCCCTTCATTCCTAGCAGTATTTCACGATAAACGTTGGGTGTAGCTGTTCTTACGCTTCCTCGTAACTGGCACGCATCTCACGTGTCATCGCTTGCGCCTAGGATCTGAGTCGTACCCCACAGGTATCCTCTATGGTAATCTGAAGTAGTGTTTGCCAAGTTTTGCCCCTAGTGATAATACATTAAGTAAAACATCCACTCTAGGTACGCTATCAACCCGAAAGACAGGAGAAAATTACGGACGCAATAGCATGAAAAACCCGCAATTTCAGCATATCATGGAAACTTATGCGTTTAGTGGTCGAAGTAGATGTATGAATCTACACCCGATTCAGGCAGGAAGAAAAGGGAGGTGTGTGTGTGGCAGTAAGACAATTCAAAAGCCGTCAAGACTTATGCGAAAATGGAGAGGTAACAGAACCGACCAATCTTCCGTTATCTTTAAGCATGCGGACGAATGTATAGATTTCCCGAAAACGACGGCTAAAGCCTTAAGGGCATATTTTGCTAAATCTCATAACATTGAACAGGAACCGCTGATTTATCATCCTTAATAAAACGCTCTAAATAAATATTCGATATTGGCCTTAGTACATCCAAGATAACACGTGTCATTATCTTACTACAACCATCCAAAAGCCCAAGCCCTGATGGGATCTCCTTAGGTCTAATCAGGTACAGATTTGAGGATATTCCTTGTCTCTCCAATCCGGACAATACCTTGAAGATTGGAAGAATTCTACGGTTACACCACAAGTAATTCTGCGGCAAAGAAGCATTTACTAAACGACTGACCAATCAGTCACACTGTCCTTCTTTCACGACCGTCTTCCCTTGCCTTAACAATAAACCTTACTAGAGTCCCATTGATGCATGACTTGCCAAGTCAACCTGAACCATCTGACTGCTGTGATTGAAGCAAGCCCTCAGTGCAAAGTCATCTTTCACAGTATGCAAAGAGCAGTTGATCTAGAATGATGCCATGTAAACGGACCATGCACGGGGACAACAAATCCACTTCTGTCCTGGCTCCAGCTATGTCTAGTTGGACGGCTGTTGATATAGCCATGTCAATGCAGTGATGTAGGATAAAGTTTAGGAGTTTACTATTTATACTGTGCATACGTGATTTTTATTTTGTTATCCAATTTGAAGTCTTTTTGGATTACTGTGGACTTGGCAGTTAGTCACATCTCCCTAAGCTTTCGTAGCAAATAGAAGCCACCATGAAACTTTGCACACTAATCTGTCTCGACGGGAAATCGAACCGCGGACACACGGACTACCGGTCCGCTGCGCTACCACTGAGCTACCGAGGGCTAAAAATCAAGTGCGCGATTCAATACATGACTTCTGCTTGGTTCGCGACGTACTGCCAATAAGCTCACAGTATCTGTCCCTAATCTTTAAATATACAGCTGTGATAGTGATTTAACATTTGTAGTGAAGTGGGCTGCAATGTGACAGATGACGTTCCTGACATCTAACTGTAGTATCTTCGTATATGGGTGGCACGTAGAAGCAGGATTATTCGGGTTTAAGAACGAGGTTAATCCTACTAATTCCTCTGTCCGAGACCTGGGTTGGAGATATTCTAGTTTGTTAGACTTTAGCGAAAACACACAGATTTCATTATGACCAAGGCTAAGAAATCGGCTCATGGGTTAATTACCGACTTTGAAAGAAACTAGCTTGTTCGTATTCAAAATTAGTATAAGTATTCTGCTTAAATGCTGCTTTGCTACATTCAGCATCCTGCGTACATGTGATTCGAAAGTCACTGGAAATGTTCAGCGCGCCTTCATAAAACGAATCTTTGTCTATGGTTAACGGCATCCGGTTTCGGATTCACCTGTCATTGTGGTCAGCCACAGGACGTCTGCACCTAGAGAGGGACCATGGGTGGCTTGTGCTGCACCACCCACACACCGCATATCCAGTGTGTATCCGCAGTTTCAAACAGAGATAGGTGCATAGATCTGAACCCCGAGCCTTTAGTTTTGAAAAGGAAGTATTTAAACCTATTCTTCACCTCATAACCTCGTGTGGCGGAAGCATACAGCCAAAATTAGCACATTGCAATTGCAAAGGAGAACCAAACGTGATGTACAAGCTATCAAATTTGTAGTTACAGGGTCTAAATTCAAGACAAGTTTAAGGCAACATAGTTACTTCCTTGGGCAATATGTGGAATAGGTTTCCACAAGAGATCAGATGTGCAGAATATTTGAGCATGTTAAAAGCTAATACAGCTTTACCTGTCAACTGGGATAGTAAAAAACGTTCGATATACTCAAACTGACAAGAAAATCCTCTTAGAAAGTGGACCGTACCATGTATGATACCGGAAAATATCGTTTGCAAAGCGTTACAATGGGTGGAAATGCCAAAAACCAAAAATAATGTCGCGAGACGACACGAAAAAGCAGTAGAATGACTGGTTTGCTGAACTGGGTAGGCAGGTTTCCGCTAGACATGACGAACGCTGGAAACATAAAGCAGGAATGGGCGTGCATCGATTTCTGCTCGATAGAGATTGCGGTGGTCACCGCAAAATTGGTTGTTTTGCGAGGTTAGATATCGGATGAACAGCGATAAACAGGTGGTTGCAGAGAATATGCTGCGGCGACTAAACACAACGTTGGATGATCATGAGTTTAGACTATTCGTATTGCCTGGGGTAAGATCCATCTATTGAGAAGACAAATGCTAACGGGAACTTAAAATTCGCAGTGATTGCACACGTTAGTTTCAGTAACAAGTTCGTCAAACTTGCAGTAAGTAAACAAGATGCTGAAGCTTGAAGATTTTCCCGAAGTTAAATATTTATTTTGTAAAGCTGGTGCATTTGAGTGGAATAAGTGTAGGCTTGATGATGATAGTGAGGATTAGTGCACAAAATGTTCGCGCTCTGAAATGGGGCGGCCACACGGAACGTTAGCACGGTTGAGTAAACAATGCTAAACGAAGTTGTCACCACACACAATTAGGTTCATCACATCTGGTAACAATCAGACAAGCTTCTCAAGCCCCAAAATGCACTGTGCTGCCGTTTCATCCTTTCGGGAATCGTCAGCATTGCGTATTGCATCACGCCCCAGTCTGGCTAGAACCCGTAAGCTGGCTATTAGTAGTCCGTCGTTACCATCATTAGACTAAGAGCGAAGTTACTTCTGACGTGACTCTCGAGTTACTGACTGGCGTAGAACAAGGTTACCCTCTCAATAAGCAACAAAATTGCCGAACTTAAGGGGCCAATTAACCTGGCATTACAAGCATTTTGGTCTGATTATTGATTACCAAGGAGTATTTGGTGGATTTGAATGGTATGTACAGAAATTTATCAAAGATCTACGGTAATAAAATACAGGTCAGAGAATAGTGAACGACGCTTTCGCACATCTAGTGACAGTCAACTCGGTCTCGGTAACTCAGTGTTCTTAACGGCAGATTGGTAGTAGTCGAGTTGTAACTTATAGCCTCACATATGTCACAAACAATGTATGCAGCTGATGATGATTCACCGAAGGGCTGCAACCGCCGTACAGCATAATGCTTTTCTGGATGTTTGATGGCTGTCTGACTGAGTCCAGATGCGATGAAGCTCTACTCATAAAATTCAAATCTCCCTTGTTGTTTCCATGGATAATGTCAATCCCGTGGAATTGGTTTTGCCCTTGCCATCATGCAGACTGGGAACAATGAAGTTGCTCTTTCTAAACGCACCACAGCACGAGTAAAGATTCGCATTGGATTGCCGCAGCACAGTTTTCTAGTAGACTTTGCATTGGAAACAACGTACACTTGGTTAAGGAAGATGAATTTACGTGACGGATGTCAATTTATCATCTACCACACACACTCTATTCGCTGTGAATGGATATTCGTGATACATCAACAACACACCTCAGTGGCCATAGTAACACAATGCCAGGGTTGTGCTAATAAAACATGTAGACGGGTGATCGGACCAAAACTGAGAATATACAGCATGCCAGCCATTCGTTTAATGGAAAGCACTGGTCAAGAGCGCTTAACTAAATCAAGACAAGGGTGTATAGCTAGCCTAAAAGCATTTGGTCTTGGTAGCCTGTTCAGTTGGGACTTGTTGCACACCAATTGGTTACCAGTCGCCACTGGCATCGGTGACACACGTGTCCACTGCCAGGATAAACGTAAACACCACCACACACAAAATAGCCATTAAAAAACAAATCATTAGAGCTACTGACAAGTACCTCTCACCTGCTTACGCACAATGATCTGGTGGACTCCATGGTTCACCAGAAAGCAAAGCGATACCAAGGCAACAGCAAGCGCTATGAAGCTGCAACGACGCGATATGAGGCGCATTAATGATGCTCCCAGGTATAACCAAACGGAAGCGCCGAATAATGTTTGCTTGTGAATTGGTACAGAGGTGGTCAAGCAGCAGCCGTGTACGCAGTGAGCCAATCGGAAGCTAATGGTGCCTTGCTTACTGTTGGTAACAACAAAATCCACGATACCCATTCGCTGAGCAGCATTATGGATCATAAGAAACTGCCCGCATAAGTGGCACTTGTTTTTACAGAGGTCACTGACATTCACTGGTTCAGCAACAGCCGAGCACCTTTAAGGTGAGACGAAAACGCCATCGTCGAGACCCACACCAGCTTCACTCACGGAGTGTTACAAATTGTCTCGTAGAGATAAGACAGTCTGGAGCAGATAGTGCCTAACGCTCCGAAAATCTCGGTTTTATGTATGTACGTTCACAATAAATGCATTTTGATAAAATAGCTTAATTCATCATGAGGTTAACATAACACTTCCTTCGTTCATCTGGCTGTATTCATTGGTTGGTTACTTGATGGACCAGTGGAGGGCGATAGTTTGTAACCAGGATACCTACGTGGAGTTTCGGTAGCGTCATCCCGGATTGGGGGGGGGTGATGAAGAAGTTATCTGCCGGCACTAGAGCTGCTGATTGTTATAGACACATGTGAGAGCAAAACTTCGCACCTACGAGTCAATGATGTAGAAAAACAGCTGAAGCATGACTACACTAAAGCGAAAAGAACTACGTCCAGGTGGCTGTAATATCAGGGGATACCGATAGCTCCAATTGGCGGTTGAGATATTGATTTGTTCACCAAGCTGTGCAATTTGTTTACCTGTGTCAGATTTCTCATCAGAGTGGTAATCATTCGACTGGAGATTTTGTGAAGGTGGCAGATATTCAGCACCTATCCATCGCAGTAGGAAATTATCCCTACGTCGCTCTCTGTTTCGCTCGTATAGTAAAGTCATCTTATAGTGTGCTTGATTTCCAGCCATTACGCCTCACCCACTGGCACCGCAATGGTTAGTATATCATTCAGGGGTCCTGTTCTCGATTCGGCTTTCATTTTCCAATTTGTTGTCGCCTTATCTGGTAGCGGTTAGCAAGCAAACTCTTCCCGAACGGTCACCAGAGTTGCACACCGCGTCCACCACTAGCGGTCACGAACAGCTACATTGCTATCGTGTTCCTGGTACATTACTTGGCCACATCGAGTCACAAAGCACTGCCAAGGTACCTGTAATTATACGTATGGAAACTACTGATGAGTGGGAGGGAAGTAAAAGAAGTTAATTGGTTCCTCCCATTCACTCACAAGCGCGACTATCTACGCTAAAATTTTGGAAATTCGCCAGAAGAGTGTTTCGCCTTATTGGGGATCGTCAGTTTTGCGCATTCCCACATTCGCCTGCAGGGAACCGAACCCGTGACTGCTAGCAGCTTGCGCCGATTGGCCGGCAGATTATACCATTGAGCCACTGGAGACGGCAGCAGATCGTCATCACTACTAAATTCACTCGGATATGGCGTAATCAATCATCCACTGCCTTGCAGGTTACCCACATTGTAGAGGACAGTGATTGACCTCCGGAGGTCACGACTTTCAAAGCACAGCTGCTATACACAACATAGCATTTGTGGACTTTGTGGGAGAATACTTAGATTACTGATGTGTAGCAAGCGTTTAAGGTTCGCACGCTAAGACAACTAGGTCAACAGGCCGCACTTGCATGCACATTGGTCACTCTTGGTATTGATGTGTTTTGTGTCCGAAACCAGATCAACCACCCCAATGGGGTTATTGAATTAACTATGCCCTGCTTGTCTTCTCGCTATAAACTATTAGTGTATACGGGTTAAGAAACAATGCTTCACATATCTCGTTGGGTGGTTTTGCAGGGTTATCGAAAATTAAAAAAGCAGTGTTATTTATGTTTAAAAGAGGGACTTATCATTTGGTTCGCTGTAGTCTTGCCACCTGTGTCGTTTCACAGCACAAACAATTGACAGCAAATAAATCCAAAATATATTCCAAGTGGAATGGAGATGTAGTACTAGGTAACAAAGTGTAGGTGAGTAAGTGAGTCATGCAACCGTGTTTGTATATGAATTGTGATGGTGTAGAAATGACCGATTCTGGAAGAGCATTCCACGGGTGACACACGCGGACGGAAAAGATACTCTTGTGGTGACCTAGGCGGCTGTACTCTTCTGCCAGTTTTAGTGAGTGACCTCTCAAGTTGGTATTACTGCTGAGTTGCAGTAAAGAGCGGCACACATGATGTGGATAGTGCAGGATTAAGTGCACCATTATCAACTCAACCTGCGCTGAAAATCCTCAATCGTTTCAGCCTCTATTCGTATGGAAGACGGTGCATTCCAGTAACGTACTTTGATGCTCCACGTTGGGGTTGTTCCAATGCACTAAGATCGTGTTTTAGCCATGGGTGCCAGGTTTGAAGTGCACATTTGACATGAGGACAAACATATGCACTAAGAATCTTCCAGAAAATAGAATGGTCTATTTGTCTGAACGCTCATCGTAACATGTCCACATATTGCTTACCAGTTTTGAAAGTTTTCGCGGATTGCCCGGAACAATCCATATCATCCTGAACCACTACACCAAAATCACGTTCAGTGGCAGTTCGCTGCAACCCATGCGTTCTGAGCCTGTAACAGTGGTTGCTCTGGTGTCGTATGGAGAGCACCTTGCATTTACTCACAGGGAATCACAGTGAATCTTGGATGGACCACTGATGTGCCGTGTCTAGAACACTGTGAAGCAGTTGCTGGTCAGTGTTTCCTGGAACCTTGTGTCAAATACTAACGTCCTCAGCAAACAGCAGGAAGTTCGATGTAATTGTCTGGGTGAGGTCATTGATACATATCAAAAACGATCGGGGACCTAGCACCGAGCGTTGAGGCACACCACATTCAACTTGTATGGGGTCAGAGAAACAGCTCCGAACTCTGACCACCAGTTGCCGCTGAAGGAGATAGTTGCCGATCCAGCTTACAGCAGGGACAGAGTACCCGTAACGCTGTAGTTTTGAAAGGAGTAACCAATGATCTAGACGGTCGAATGCTTACAAGCAACCCAGGTTGATCACATCAACATCCTTTCCAGCGTTAGCTGACTGGGTCAAGCTACGCTGTGCTTTTAGTAAATTCGTTGTGCAAGAGCGACTTCTACGGAAGCCGCGCTGCTCAGAAATAATAATATCCGAGTTTTACAAAAAGCCCACCAGAGCATCGGCTGTGATGGATACCATCAGCTGGAACAGTATAGGGTGAAAGGAAACTTGGCGGTAGTTTGAAGCCTCAGTTCTGCTTCCACGTTTGTGAATGGGTGTTCTTATTCCAAGCTTCCACATAGCAGGAAGTTAGTTCTGGTCTAAGCAGCACCGCAAGAACTGAGCCAGTGGTTGTGCTAATTGACTTGCTGCTGTTCGCAGTGCCTCTGAGCAAATAGCATCGACACCCGGGAATTTATGCTTTAGTAGAGTGACCAGCTTCTGCAATACAACTTCGGTGGTAAAGCAGGTGTGAGTGAGTCCCGGCGAAAATGCGATAGGGGCTGGAGGATCTTCTGATGGCAATACCTCATAGAAGGTGGAGGCATATTGCATTCGCAGCGCATTTACTGCTTCCGTGACGGTTTGTTTTTGGCCATAAGCCGCCATGGGTGGCGGAACTCCTTGCCTTACCTTCCGTAGACCACTGACGTGATTATACAGCAGGTTCTGATTGGCGTCGAGTTTTTGCCATGTTCTGCTTATGCGTGTCTTTGTCCTTTCTGACCAGTTGCGTGCAGTGCTTTCGTTGGGCGACGTAGTTATCCTAGCTTTCTGGTGTTAAGGATAATCTACACTCTCGCCCCTCTACGTTGCGTACTGCTAGCAATTTTCGATTTCTGCTCCTTACGTAAGTAAGTGTTTCAGACCGTTTGCATCCGTAAGCAGCCGATTGAGTTTTGATTCACATATGCGGAGACGCTGATGCCGCAATCACTGGTCAAGCTGGGGTGGGCATCATTCTCAACTCCTAGACTGAGTCAGCGTTAGTTGTTTGGATACCTGTGGGAAGCCGTTTATATACAGTATGTTTGACGACTTCAACTAAGGTTGGTTTACAAACTAGTGCCAGACGCTTTTTGTTTGTGGTTTGTCGATGCCTGATAATATTGTCACTAGCACGCTTGGGAGCACGCCTACGGTAACGGCTTGGAACGCTGACCGTTTGATCGGATTTGCGCTGACCTAATGGCGTACCTTAGCCCGGGGTACGCGCTGGTGAGACGAAAAATGGAGCAAGCGTGAGAACGATCCTAACTGCACGTATTCGGGTAGACGCTGAGCCCTCGGAACATACGCACACGAGAGTGGGTTACGGTCGACGCGCACGAGTGACCTGGACGCGAACGCTGCCCGGTTAATGACGCACACAACATCACGTGACCGACCGACTCCCAACTAAGGCGAAGAGGGAGCAAGACAGGTGGTCCTCTGAAGGCTCTATACGACCAACACAGAGCAAATCACAGCCAGTGCTATTGGTCATTAAGTTAAGGAAAATAGCTACCACTACGGGGTGGTAGTTCGTAGAAGAACATTGTCAGCAAGTGCGCAGTTGGGCCGCGTCTCGGAGTGACTGAACACTGCCACGTTCCAGTTTAGATACCGTTGTTGTTGTCGCAAGACATAAATACGCAAGTAGATTGTCTGAGATATTCAGTAGCTCAGCTAGCTAATTAATGTGGTATAGTCTTCCACAAATCACGAACACAATCTGGGTGGTGATCACAATCATTTTGTTAGAGAACGCATGGGTCTTTTACATTGTATATTACTAGTCATTGAGATTCAGTTTAAATCGTCGCTTCTTCCGGCCACTTCTTGGGTTCATTGGTTGGTGTCTATCATTTCTTCTAAGATGTTTGGAGCACTCCTCACTTAGCTGGAATAAAGACGCGCTTTGTTCACACCCGAAACGCATCCCGGTCGGTTCATTCGATTCCTGCGTTGAT